TTGATTATGTTTACAAGTGGATGGAGTTTTCACGTCTCTCTCCCTCTCTCGTTCCCAACATACTTCAGCTTTCTTTATGAATCCCTTTTTCTTCTTCTTCCTTCCCTTTTCCCCAGTCTTTCTTATACCTTTCCCTTTTCCATGTGTTTTCATCCCCTCTTCGACATTAAAGTAGGGTTGCCACCTTTTCTTCATGCGAAACCCGAACACTCTAGTGCCGCACCGCAATTTCTTTTTGATAATATACAGGAGAGAGAGAGGAGAGACAGCCAGGGGAGATAGAGGAGAGATATATTTTTAAGTTGTATGCATTAAAAATAATAAGTGCTAGTATAACACTTCCAGATATTTATTATCACTGACAATGTTTAAAGTAAAAGGGTTAGGTGACACATAATTCTGTGTTCGAGCAACACATCTGCCTGAAGCAGAACCCCTGTGCCCTTCAAGACTCATTATGCACCCTGTGTTTCAGACACCTCCTTTCTCCCTGAGTTGCAGCATCCCTGCGTGTCCTGCGACTGCTCGATGCACTGGGCTCTCGTGCAGTGCCTGAATGGTCAGGTTACCCCTGGAGGGGTATAAAGGAGAATGCAGGTCAGGGTACAGAGAGGTATGGAGGGGAAAGCAGGTCAGGGTACAAAGAGATATGGAGGAGAAGGCGCAACAGGGTACAGAGGGGTATTGAGGGGAAGGTGGGACAGGGTACATAGAGATATGGAGGAGATGGCAGGACAGAGTACAGAGGGGTATGGAGGGAAAGGAAGGTCAGTGTATAGAGGGGTATGGAGGGTAAGGAAGGTCAGGATACAGAGAGCTATGGAGCGCAAGGAAGATCAGGGTATAGAGAGGTATGGAGGGGAAAGAAGGTCAGGGTACAGAGGGGTATGGAGGGGAAGGAAGGTCAGTGTACAGAGGGGTAAAGGGGGAAGGAAGGTCAGGGTACAGGGGGGTATAGAGCGGAAGGCAGGTTATGGTACAGAGACTGGTCAGAGCAGAAAGGGGGAAAAGGTTAATTAGGTCAAGGTTCATATTGGGAACAGACAGGAGCAAAGAAGCCAGGGTTAGGAGGGGTATGGTGATGAAGGGTAAAGTCAGGGTTAAGAGGAGGGTTCCAAGTTGCATGGAGGAGTTCTGACAGATGGAAACTGTGAGAAGCTTCAGGGGACAGGTTTAGGGTTCAGATAGAGATGGAGGTGGTTGGGAGGACAGTATTCTGACAGGGATAGACAAAGACGTGGGGAAGGGGAAAAAAAGAGGACAGACAGGTCGGGTTTCAGAGTGTAATGGTGGAGCATGTCCCAGACAGATCATGGTTTCAAGGTGAATTGAGAGGGTCAAGGTTTAGAGATGTGGGGGGCAGCTGCCAGACATGTTGGGTGCTAGTTACCTAATATGGACGCCAGTAAACCATACCCCCACCTTTAACCCCTCAAGTGCCACACAGCCACATACCTGTAGCCACCGGTGAGAGCAATGAGACTTTCACACACTGACAACCGCTTGCTCTGCCGGGATTGCGCTAACACAGCAGAAGGCCCTCCTCCATGCGCTCAACACCAGGACCCCGTGGGTCTGCTCAGTGTACAGCCCAGAAGATCTGCAGCTGACCCCTTAGATCTGCTGATTCTGTGCCAGAGATGAAAGCCCAGGTTGCTGTAGCTAGGGGGAGGTTGTGAATCAGGAAGGGGGACCCACAAGGAGCTGGGGAGAATTGGGGAGTAAAAAGAGGGGATCAGGGCTGCAAGAAGCCCCTTTCTCCATAAACTCCAACCTTCTTCTTCAACTATTCCTTGTTTTCCAATGCCTCAATGATTTTCTTTAGTAGAGTAGAGAAAGGATAGAACCTGGTCTGATTTGTGTAAGGGAGGAGACTCAACTATCCTCATAGATAGAAATAGCTGGGAGGCAAGGCAATGTCATAATTAGGGGGGACTTCAACTATCCTGATACTGACTGGGCAAATGAAACTTCACACTCAAGTAAGGCCCGTCACTTCTTGAACATACTCCGAGATAATTTTATGCGACACGTGGTGGAAACCCCAACTAGAAAAAAATGCTCTGTTGGATTTATTAATTACAAACAACACAGAGCTGACTACAGATATAAAAATTGGGGATAACCTGGGGAAAAGTATTCACAGAACTATAATGTTCACCATAAACTCCAGGAAACATAGACATGTTGGAACAACAAGAACATTTAGGGGATTATTCACAGAGAGATACAGCCGTAGCTTCAGCTGATCCTTTGGCTCTCTTCGGCCGCCGGATCCCTTCGGTTCAGTCGAACCCAAGGGCCCACGTACGGGCTAATTATTATAGCCCATACAGCAGCCGAAGGTGGCCGAGTGGCCCAGCCGAGCCGAAGGCATATGCTTCGGCTCCGTTGAGCCGAAGTGACAGCCAAAGCAGGGCGAACGGCCTGCCGAAGGCCGTTAAATAATTATAAAATGATATATACTGTATAATACAGAAAGGAACATATGGTGCAGGAAGTACAACAACATCAGAAATTGTTTAGTGACATTGTGTTATTCAACAAATTCTTATATCATGTTTCCTTGTGTTTTTTACATGTATAGAACAAGCACTGCTGTCTGCGAACTGTGTTCTAAAACAGTGAACGATTATATCACTAACCCATGTACACACGTGTTCTGCTGGCCATGCATCATAAAATACCGAGATGAATCACCCCTATCTAGAGGCAACTGCCCAACATGCTACTTTAACCAGGTAGGAGCCATAGTGAATGGACAAGATGAAGATGATAATATGATTCACTATGTACATTATCCTTATTAACTTTAAAATATTACAAATGACCAGTCCCGAGATGTGATGGCTGCATTAGTTTTCCTTTATTTTCACTTGTTGATCCTGCCAGTAATGCACTTCATGTCCTGAGGTGAAAACACTTACTGTACTGTATTTATAGAGGAGCAGCATTGTTACCCTAGGAAAGAACCTGTTTTAGGTCTAGAGAAGACCACTTTGTCCTCGATCCGTGATCATCACCGGGGATGGTTAACTCCACAGTTAACACTTTACACAGAATAATAGCTGCCACCACGTGTTCTAACAAAACATGCACCGTTCCCAGCAAATGCTGAGAAGATTCAAAACTTAAACAATGCCTGTGATGCCCACTGTCCCTTCAGAGAGGAATATAACAGGTTTTACAATATGGCAGCGCTGCTCACAGAGACAAGTTCTTATTTAGAGAGTAGAGATAAGTTTAACAATTTTGAAAGATTGTTTTTAATAAAAGAAGATTTCCTCACTTGCCTTTCCCAAACTATCAATTTCATAACAATAGTCATATTTTAATACACTTACCACCTGATAAAACATATTATTGTGTCTTATAAAATTAGCTTTGTGTAGATACCAAACTTCACATATCTGTAATGTATGCCTCCCTTCCAAACCCATGTCTGGTACACTTGTACTCAGGTTTAAATGATACATCTATATATAGTGTGTGTGTGTATACATATATATATAATATATACAGTGTATATATACATATACACACTTTCAGCCCAGGAGAGGAGCCTTGTTAACTTTGCAAGACTGAAGGAAAGGCCAGAGTTCAAACCTGGAGATCAAAGCAACATTATAAAGGCACCATGTTACTTTTAGGGAAACAGCATGTGAGAACAATTAGTGGATCCAGAGATATAGACAATTATAGTGTAGCGCTCACCCCAGAAGGAGCCGCTGATTGTACCAGGTCCATATCTAGTCAGTCTAGGGGTTGAATTCCAGCTGCACCCATTAGCACTAACCGCCCTCTTCTTGTGCCCACAAATTGATGTCCAATTCAGATGTATGATGCTAGTCGAACATTTTATTGAACTTCTGATTAGGGAGAGAGGGTATAGGGGTTCTAGATGTCTAGTGGTAACCATCCTTAGCTACAGACTCACCGGATCTTGTACCAAGGGAGTGCATATCCACAATCCAAGAAAGAAACACTGACCCCGCTCTGAAGTCCACATAGATCCAGTGCACTTCAAGAGCCTGCACTGGTCCTGGTTCTTTCCATCTCTGAGGCCTCCTCCATGTTGGAGGCCTCCAGGGAAACCTCTTTCCCCATCTCAGCCAATGCCCAACCCCAGGCCTCGGCCTAGCCTGGGGGGCAGGCTGAACAGGACCCAACCTTAATCCATGGCTGGTCCAGGCAAGCGAAAGCACATGGCAGCTCCCACCCATATATGTACACTCTGTCAGCAGGCACCACTGGCTGAAAGAAGCCCAGTGGTTGGCTGCTGCACTGTACACACATTACAGTGTCACCTATTGGCTGTCCCACAATGAGTCTCACTCCGCCCAGGGGGGTACAGACAAGGTTAGACACCTGGGAATTAACCATGTACTTGCTGCTACAAATCCAGCCAGGCTGTCTACAGCCCTGGCTATCACCAAATGCATGGTAGTCACATCACAAAAGGTGATGGGCGATACAATAGTTATATGTAAATCTCAACATCTCCTGTGAAAGATGAGCTTTCCTTTTCCCTCTCACCTTACAATTGGTCATAAGGATGAGCCATTACATTAAAGGACCTATAGGGAGGCCTAATGGCTGGGTGGAGGTGGGAAATTGAGATTTGCATATAAATTCAGTTGTTTATGTCTCTGGATCTATGGATTATTTTAGCATAGGGTTTCCACTGGAGGTAACCCCTCCTCTGCTTGTAAATTTGTTTCTGAGTTCTCAATAACCAACAATATTTTCTAATGTTTATATAACCTACAGCACTTGTAAGAGAGAAGTTCACTGGTGGTTATGGGCAGCAGAAAGTTCTTCCTTGACATGTTTTACTACACGAGGCCCAATGTGGCCAACGACAAGCCACAAATGTATTCCCTATTATGAGGATTTATTATTTGAGTCTAGATCAACTTCTTGGCAATACTTTCTGACTTTGGTTCTTTAATTCCCCTAAACAGCCTGTACAATTGGTTTCGACAAATGGAACTGGACAAATGCAGCTAGAGGAGTCTGCAGTACAGAGATGTTTCTTGGAATGTGAGGACCGCCCTGTCTATGTGATCAGTGTGGTTGGAGAAAGGCGAACAGGAAAATCATTTCTAATGAATTATCTTATGAGAGTCCTTCGTAGTCTGGTAAGAATGTCAGATGGGTAACTTGTTCAGATATATACTATAGATCAGGCTCACTGAAAATAATAACTGAGACGTTGGAAGAGCTCCTAATGTGGTCATTTCAAGATCAATGGCCTTTTTGCCCATTTGATAAAGCGGAATCTGCCAAAGCGACCTCCCTAGCCATGTGCTCTCCCTCATTGCCACCTTGTTTTGGTTTTCGCAGCTTTGGCCATTTTGATTAGCTGGCCCTGGTTGACGTAACTCCCAGCCATGCACATGGGAGTCAATTCATCCCAGCACCCAAGGCATGCCGAGATTGTACAATCTTTGGAAACTTGCTAGTAATCACGTAATGATTCTGGCAATGACACTCCTATTCTGGGAGGTGTACTTGATATTCTGCCCTTGCACATAGTGTATGTACAAAGATAATGCTTTAGCTTAAACCTTTTGTGTATTCCTAGCCTAACCTTATCATAAAAAGATTGCACACATTAATAAATGTCTACTGAAATTAACAGGAGAAGACGAATGTTTACAATTTTGGAGGAGAAAACGAAGCCCTGAATGGTTTCCCGTGGAGGCCTGGCCCTGTTAAGGTCACTCAGGGCATCTGGGTTTGGGGTAAACCCTTCCTTCTGGAGAACAATGGACAAAAGGTAAGTGCCTCCCCATATTTTACTTCTGGTGCTGCACTATAGGTGCCTCACCAACGTAACAGGTATTTTCCATGGGGCTGAATATTAGTAATTTTATAGTCATGGTGTAGGGCAGGGCTCAAAATTTCCACTCGCCCCCTCGCAATTTGCGATGAAAAAGAAATTGAGGATTTGGTGTCCTCAATTTCTTTTCTATTTTAAAAGGGAAATGTCGGGGGTCTGTTCAGATGAAATCACACGTATATGGTGCTCAAGATTTGTCCCAAGTGCACCACACTCTTTATCCTTCCACTGTGAAAGTTCTTTGTGCAAAGTCCATACGTCAACTCCAATTATCACCCAGGTGCTCCCCCTCTCAGTGGGCCGCTCACCTTATAAATAGACCTGAACAGGTCTAGAATCGCTTTAATGGGTCTCCAATCGATCTTATTCAAAGGCCATCTCTCCACAATCGTTGCACAGAAAATGACGTCAGCGTCTCATCACGACCATATCCAATAAAATATAAAAACAGCCCATAGCATAAAACCGCAATATTAAAAAACCTCCTTTATTTAAAAAACTACTCACATGAGGAAAGTAGACATAAAACTTCAAATAAATGTATGCTCGACAACTCTCCAAGTTCTCTGGGTGCAAAGACAGATCAAACAGGAGCTGTGCTGCCGACCATGCAATCTCCAATCCACGTCTGCCAGACTCCGCCCTACACGTTATATCACAATTGACTTCATCTGGGGTTTGATCTATTTATAAGGTGAGCGGCCCACTGAGAGGGGGAGCACCTGGGTAATAATTGGAGTTGACGTATGGACTTTGCACAAAGAACTTTCACACTGGAAGGATAAAGAGTGTGGTGCACTTGGGACAAATCCTGAGCACCATATACGTGTGATTCCACATTTGTGTATATTTGAACACGGAATATATGATTGAACTTTCCAGAGGACTATTATTTACAAGAAGATTCATTGTGAACACTTTTTTGATTGCATGTATTATTTAAGCACACATTTATTATAAAGATTTGTTTATGTATTGTTCTAGATGAAGCGCAGCACATTCATTATAAGGGAATAAACCCCCTCGAGTCCTTACTAAACCCAGGGCAACCTACACACTACCTGATAGTAGAAACTATATTACAAAACTAAGCTTTAACCACCTGCTGTCCGGCCGTTGTAATTAAACGGCCGGACAGCGGCTTCTTGAGAGCGGGTGGGCGTCTTTAGACGTAGGCGGCGGGCACGAGCGGGAAACCGGCATTGGATGTAAACAGCCAGCGATGGCTGTTTACATACAAGCGTTCGGGCGTCTGTAGAGACGCCCGATCGCTTGTAATATGCGGTCGCGTGTGCGCCCCCCCCTCCGTCGCCGCTGCTGCTGGCGATCCCGGGCTCTGCTGTTCCCGTTGTGAGCCCGGGACCAGCACAGCAGCTCTGTGGCCGGAGATCAAACAGAGCTCAGTACACGAGCTCCGTTTGATCTCCTCTTCTGAATGCAGGCAGTGATGTGTATTACATCACTGCCTGCATTCAGTGTCACTCTCCGGTACAGAAACCGGAGAGAAGCTGGTGAAGCAGCTTCTCTGGGGGTCCCAAGGTGACATTAGGGGTCTTAAAGACCCCTGATGTCTCCATAAAGCTCAGTGAAAAAAAAAGTTTAAAAAAATGTAAGTTACAAAACAAAATTAAAAAATTAAAAATCACATATCAAATTATAATAATAATAATAAAAAAAATTAAAGTCCCCCGCCCCCACATGCACACGCAAACATGCGTCAAGCCCTCCTACGTGCGAAAACGCCGATTACATCCATTGCGCCGCACATGTTACATATCGCCGCGAACGTCGGAGTGCGAGCAATAATTCTAGGGTCATCAATCACTGATAACACTAAACTGATGAGCGGTAAAAGTTTTTAAAGCGTCGGCTATGGTCAATTTTAGGCATGGTAGTTTTTTGCGATTTAACGGGTGTGCGCAATTTTAAAGCTTGACATGTTTGGTGTCTATTTACCTGACGTGGCCCCGTCTTTTATATTTTACCAAAAAATTGGGTATTAATAAATGTTTTATAACATAACGTAGGGAGAACAGGGGGTTTTTTTCCAAAATTTTCGGTACTTTTTTCATTATATAGTAATAAAAAAAAACCCCCGTGGTGATTAAATCCCACCAAAATAAAGCTCTATCTGTCCCCAAAAAATGGTATAAAATTAATTTCAGTACAGTGTTGCATGACGGAATAAATGTCAGTCAAAGTACCGCAGCGCCGAATACTGAAAAATGATCTGGACAGGAAGGAGGTGTAAACACCTCGGTCAGCAAGTGGTTAAGTAAGTAGTGTCATACTGGCTCTACGGTAGCTACGGTAAAACAGCCAAACTGGTGACTTGGCTTCTGACAAAGCTTGTTGTTAAAGCAGAACTAGCCAATTGGTGGACCTGTCAGAACACAGGTCTCATTCAGCCAGGTGTCCTGCCATTGCAGCTGATCTCTGGTACCAGAACGGTTTTACTTAGCCATTTGGGTTGTAGTTTGTTGAGGAGAGGGAACTACTTTAGGTGTCTAACATTGTTTTGGCCAATTTTGAAAGCAGAGTTGATAGTCTTAGAAACTGGTGATAGTGGCTCCCTTTGTTGGCAGTCACATGCCCATATCATCTTTGATGAAGGAGTTTTGGTGACTGCTGTCAAGGCAGCACCACTGATGGCCTAAACTCTGATCTCCCCCTTCAGCAAAAATCATATGAAGAGTGTACAACACCGCTTTTTGTAGGAGACTTAAATATTGCAGTGTTTATGTTTCCATGTCTGCATTCAAGAGTCTGGGATGGTCAACAGTGATGGCAGCAGTGAAAGATTCATGTTTTATTAGGTCATTTCTGAATACCGTATTTGCCGGCATATAAGACGGGTTTTGAAACCTTAAAACATCACCCAACAATCGGGGGTCGTCTTATACGCCGGGTACATACAGAAGGATATGGTATACTGTATGTAGCTTCGGCTACATACAGTATACTGCGCTGAGTCAATCACGGCTGGTTTTGTATTAATGAATACAAAGCCTGTATTCATTAATACAAAACTTGCCGTGATTGACTCAGCGGAAGACGGAGGACGCTGCGGGGATCGTGGACAAGGTAAGAGACTGTAATCCCGAGTGTGGGTCGGGGTTACCGCTTATGGTACTGAAAATTAACCCCGAGCCACACTCGGGAATACCGCCATGGATGTTAGTGGGTGCATTTAAACATTATTACGACGAGTATAGCCCAAAACCTATATTTTAACACAAAAAGTAGGGGGTCGTCTTATACGCCAAGTTGTCTTATACGCCGAGTCGTCTTATACGCCGAGTCGTCTTATACGCCGGCAAATACGGATCATTGCAATGGTCTCTTGAAAAAACAGAATGCCTTGCTGGCAATGTAACAATTCCTCGATCTTGTTCCCTATAGATGGCTGTATTTCTTCTGGACACTGAAGGCACCAAGAATACAACATTTCATGAGCCTGCCAGCGTAAAGCTGCTTGTATTAACCATGATGATCAGCTCTCACCTTGTAAGTAACAATTTGGTCTTACTGCCCATACTTTATAAATGCCCCTGGTAGCAGTCATCATAAGCACTAATGTAGGTAATTGTGCACACCAATGACATTTGTCCAACAACCCCAATCTATAAGAGTATGTAGGAAAAAACACAGTGTTTGAAAAGTTATCCTTCTAACACTCACCAATGCACAATCTTTTATTACTGACAACCTCAGTATGGCTTGGTCCTTGCTTGGTCATGACCAGTAATGCTGGTTGACACATGACTAGGGCACGCCATAGGTTCCTTTCTGCACCAAAACCCTGCTACGCCACCTCCCCCAACTACCTCCAACCCCAAATAACAGACCACACCATTTTTTGGTATAACTGGTTGTAGCAGCCCTTTATTATAAAACATCATAACGTAAAACCAATATATATACCTAAACATTAGATTAATGTAATCAACAATTAACTAAATGATGTGTGTGTCCATGCACACACGGCCACACCTCTAAACAAATATATATATATACCGACCGGATTGTTGCAGAGACCTTTTCCACCTCATACTGTAATGGTCAGCATGCCTGCTGACTCCGCCACACCGAGGACTGCGCACCAGAGACGAGTCCTCACCAACACCAAATTAGCACCACCATACACCGCGGATGAACCATGTCACCCTGGCGAGTAACCAAACCACACATCCTAAATGTATAATAAGTGGGGGCAGGTGGGCGGGAAGTTCCTCGCCGTTTTCTAATTCCCAACTGACCAGGAAGATATCTCCGCCTTCTCATCCCACTGTGAAGCCCCTCCTAGACCACCTATCACTCGGCCAATCAGGTAAGTGCCCCCTCCATTTTGAAGCAAAACCTCGCCTTCGGCCAATCAGGTAAGTGCCCCCTCCATTTTGCAGAAAAAAACCTTGACCTTGACCCCTCCTTCCTGTCCCCATGTTTGTCCTGTCATGTAGTCCCTCCGCCTATTTCTTTTTTGTCATTAGCTCCGTGACTATCTGGTGCATCACTAGCAAAGACACTAGGGCTGAATTCACACCTTTCCTTGTATATTTTTCTGCATTTTTACATAATGTAGCCATTTTAGCCTAAGTGGAGAGGCTCTTTAAATTTTGTGCTGCTGGAACTGTAATCAGTCTGGCTGATTTGTGGTCTGTGATTATTTGGTTATTCCTAGGTGTTCTGCTATTGTCTGCAGTGCATCTACCTGTAGTAAGGGTGTGACCCTGCCACAGAGTGGGGCAGCCAATGGGAGAGGATTAGGGGTGTTTATGCCTCACCAGCAAATTAGTAAGGGTTTCATGGCCAGTGGTGCATGCTGGGGAAGTGCATAAATACTCAGGAATTGCCATGTGCTCGGGTCAGTCCACCCTCTGGGCTTAGCCTAGGGGTAGGGTGTGCACAGTTGGAGAAGCTAGCTACGCCTGAAGTTTTCAGGAGGCCAGCTGTTGACCCTGGTGGGCCTGGAACTGTCTGGGATAGAGAACTAGAGGAGCCCTTTATCTGCTGGAGGTGCCAGAAAGGCCAAGATGGCATAGACCTGAGGGACAAGTCTGGTGTCTCTCCCAGGGAAGATCTCAAGTATGTCCTCCGTCCAGCTGTGGCTCTAATACACAGTCTCATCCTCTGCTCAACTAAAGTATTCCTGCACTGTGGAAGCTGGAAGGGACTGGTGAGTCTGGAGTCTATTTGTCCATGGATGTCTGTAGCCCTATACACTCTCTGCCAGTTTGGCTGTTCTACAATAAAGCATTTAAAGTGACTGGCACCCAATTCACAGATCACATCACACAACCCACCTAAGGATCCATACCTGAGAGTGAAATGTCAGCCCTTCCTGCCTCTGGGGTTCGCCACATTCCTCTGGGGGTCAGGGGGCGCTACAATACATTATCAACAATTATGTGTTGTCATCAATAGACCCAATCTTTTAACACATCCAAAAATCGACAACACATGCCGATGCATAACACAGAGGTGAGCACGCGCCATTTAAAACAATGGCTAACCTGGGTATATGTTGACATGTTCTGAAATACAAATCTGAAAAAAAAGTTTCTCCAGAAACTTTACAATGTATATGGTTTTTCTGGAAGGGATTGGAACTGGAGTTAGACTTTAAAGCACGATTGTTCTAGTACTTTACCTGGTGCCCGGTCATAAATAAAGATCAACGAATAGACATGGACAGGAGATGGAACCAATGGTCGGATTCTTTTGGTGATGTGCATGGGATAACAGTGGAGAAGCCTTGGGAATTATTTTCTTCACTGCAGGTAGTAAGGATTCTGTTCTCAAGATAGTGTCAGCCACAGTCTCTCTAATAGGAGGAGTGGAGATCCAGCTACCCCATTGAGGAGATTTTGCTATTCTTTTACAACAGTCTCATTATAACCAACCGTCTCTCATGCATAGGGATGAATAAAATTGAGAGTTTTTGTTTCACAGAAATTTTCAGTGAACACCAGGAGATGTCAGCAAAATATTTCCATTTTGGCACAATGCACTGGCGCTAATAGGGAAGGCAAGTGAAAGACTTGGTTTTGAAGGGTGAAATGGTCTTTAAATGTCTCTTGATGACTCTTTTGGCCATACCTTTCAGACTTCAGTTCCTTTTTACCTTGCACTGAAAGTGCATAAAAATCTATGTATCGTTTTCAGTGGCGTTTTCTAATCTATGTGTTGTTGTGTGGGGCAATGTACTTAAAAGTCCTCCAAATCCACCCCACTCATCCCTTCTATCTGTGGTTGACTTCTCCTCAGCCACCGAACATCCAACCATGCAGATAATAACTCTTACCAATCTGCATTATACATAACTTGTTTTATTAATTGTGATTTATTTTGTAATGTTTTAGGTGTACAATGTGAAAGCCGATGTAAAAGACACAGATGTAGACTATCTTGAGGTAAGAAGATCTTCATTTATTTAAATTTGGTAAAGTCGCAGTATCTGGTTACATGTTAATGTAAACTGGATCTTGTTTTTCAGATTTACTCTGATCCAATGGAAAGTGATCCTTTCCACCCATTCTTTACATTAAAGGTAAACATTATCTGCTACAGTGTCGTCTTTGTTTTCATGCCAGCTTGACTTCAGTTTTTCCAGGTTTTAGAAAACGTAACTCTTGCAGTGGGGCTACCCCTACACTACAAGGGTTAACTCCAGTGGTCCCCACACCACCACCTCTGGGTCACTCTATGGGCCACCTGAATGTCTATGGGATGAGAATGGCTTGTGGATATGCTCATCCCCGTGCGGCAGCGGTATTAGGGTTGCCACCTGTCCAGGATTCACCCGGACAGTTCGGGTTTTGAATGCTGTGTCCGGGTTTCATGGCAGCAGAAACCCGGACACAAGATGTCAGGCAGACAGGGGCAACCAAAATTAATATAGGGACTACCGTCCCCCCACTGAAAACAGTGATATTTACATATGAACGGGTGGCACTAATTACATATGAATAAGCCGCGACTCATTCTCCCAAAAAGATATCCACGTGTCGCCAGAGTGTTCGGGTTTCGCTTGAAGAAAAGGTGGCAACCCTAAGCGGTATCTAGGTGTCCGTTGGGTGTAGGGTGTTTTTGGATGTAGCACACTGCTACATCCAAAAACCTCCTACACCCAAGGTACACCTACACCCACACTGAACAGATGTTACCTGGTCCAGGTACATTGTTATCGGGACAGACTATCCTGATTTATGTGAATGAGTTCTTCCATTTCAGCTACATTGTTGACGCGTGCAAAGCATTCCAAATGGATTGGTGGAAGGGGTGATTTCCAGTGTCTTGGAATAGATTTTGCCTCATTCAACAAGTGTAGTAGTGGAGAGAGTTCTTATTGCTTTACGGGAGACCAGCGTAGTAGAGGAGGAATCGTGCTGGTTGATAATCTAAAGTGCAAAGTCTAATTCTTACCAGAAAGATTGGATCTGGGGAATAAAATATAATTTTATAATGATTACAAGCTCTTAAAACAATGTATTTCTTAAACTCAGCTCTTTCTCACACTCACTACGCTTACACAGCTCCTCCTTACTCTTGACTGTCTTGTACAGCTCCATCCCCCTACTCAGCTTTCTTGTCCAGCTCCTCCTCACACTCATCTTTCTTGCACAGCTCTTCCTCACACTTGGCTCTCGTCTCTTCTGCAGTTCTGCAATTTTATGCTGAATAATGTTGGTTTCGTTTTATAGTATTTTGATGTCTTGGTTCGGGATTGGCGTGATAGCAACGAAGACTACGGAGCAGAAGTTGCCGAATCCTATATTAAAAGACAAATAGAGGTTTGTAACTTTACATCCATCATAATTCTAATCATCAGAGCATTCCTGTTCTACTTTTTCCACTATTTTGCTAGTTTCTAATATGGAAGGATACAATAAGTGTATCTTGCAGCTCCTGGTCAGCAATGATGAGACTTTGATGAGACTTTGTGCACCAAAACAAAAGTTGTGGAAAGTCTTACAGTTCATTTTCTGCAAGAACACAGCCACAGTCTGAATAAAACATCCTGTCCCTGCCAGCCATTCACATCTGCAGGACTGGTGAGCTCTGTGTGAGAGTACAAGTCTATTTGTAGTGGTATGACATCCCCTGTGAGTTAATGTGGTGCAATCAGCAGGGAGCATGTTGGATTGCTGCAGAGAGACTACTGCTTTCATACAGAGTTCAGCGGTCCGTCCCTGCAGCATGATGGCGCACGGGGACAGGATGTTTTTCTCAGGCTATGGCTACTTTCTTACAAGAGCAATCCGTAAGACTTTCAGCAGTTTTGAGCGCAAAGTCATCTTTAAGTCATTTGTGGTGCGGTATATCACGTACCTGACTGGAGACTCAGCTGTGAAGGGGGCTGCCCGTGCACCTCTTGTCCCACACCTCTGGAAGTAGTGACAGGGGATGTAAGGACAGTGTGGGGCCCAGGTGCCGGTACTGGTGGCTGGCCGGTTCTTGAGGAGGCGCTTGAGGGCGTTGGACCATCTGGTGAATCGGCAGGACTGAGATGACACCGGGACCTCTTGAAAACAGAGCAGGCAACGGGTATGAGGCCAAGGAAGCACTGGCAGGATGTCGTTGCTCAGGATGCTGATGGAGTGATCCATCAAGTGGCAGACCAGGAGGGAAGTCAGGTTCAAGCCGACGTCATACACAGGGAGCCGAATCTTGAGGTGCCAAATCACAGATCAGGAGCAGGGTCAGGAAACATAAGCCAGGGTCATACACAGGAGATCAGAGAGCAGAGGTACCAAATCAGGAGGAGGAGGCGGAGTCCAATGGTCACAAGTCAGGTTCATACACAGGACGTCAGGATACAGGAGTACAGGGCACACAGGGACAAGCTGAAGACCACTCAGCAACTTGGTCATGGCTTTATGTCTGTTTAAATAGGATAGTGTGCATGCTAATGAGCGTGCACCTGTACGGTAACAAGCACGTTTCTGCGCGCTCACGTACGTGCGCTATTGCGCATAAACATTCCCGTACGTGCGCATTCACGTGCTAAAGTGCGTTTTCCAGGAACTTTGGGCAATGGACTGCATACTTGTGTGCGTGCACGTTTTTGAGCAGGAGTCCATCTGCAGGTAAGTCTCTTACACGGTATCTATAGTATCAATTATGTCCATGCTTATATCTATGTTATCATTGGCAGAAACTGGGGAAAAGGCACACGCAAAGTATTTTAAAGCTGTTAGAAGAAAGAATAGTGCGATGCTTCTTAATGACATATCCTGGAGATGTCACAGCTGAAGGTGAAGACGCAAGACTTAGAGGTAAGCTTCTGCATACTACATGTAGGTATGTCTTTTCATCAGCAAACATGTAGCAGACATGCAGACAAATGGCTGAAAATACAGATAGATTACCTATAAGAGAGTGGATTTACCAGCCAAAGAATTTTCCATTCTGTCCATCCAGTCCTGAGATTTACGCAGCCCTGCTGACCACACAGTTACTCCGACGCTAATTTTACGGTTACAGTTATAGACTATAGAAGGAATGCAGTGGTATCTCACCACCCCCAGCCTGTTGAATGGACAGTGAAAGAACTGCAGGTGTTCTGTTTCTAATGCCACTTTATACATTCACATACCTCCTTTACATCATGATCAGTCCTGGCAGTATGGTCACCTGCTGAATCAGAACAATCCACAGACAGCTTAACTCGCCAATAAAGCACAGAAGTTTAATCCAGTTTTGCTACACATTGTGAAATACAGAGGATTCTTTCCAGTGTCTTGAAGTGTATAAGGACAATGATCTCCTCAGCTGAGTGTCTGCTATGAAGGCTAGCAGTATACTAAGAGAACATGGAGAAAGAAAGGAGGGTCTATCTTGGACTGTACCACCTAGCTCTAACCAGGAGGGGAAAATAGAGGGAGGTGCAAATGTACATGTAGATGTCAGGCATTTACAACAATACAATAACTTCATGCAATGTGATGCAAGAACAGAAACATGTGTACAGGTGGGGCACAACAGCAGGAGACTGATGAGGTCATCGTCCTACTCACTTTGCCCTTTTTTTAGCATTTTCCTTGTAAGCACATTTGTATTCAGTACACCTGATTGGCTCTTAGTCCTGTCCCCCTCTCTCTCTGTATGAGTGCTGTCATATACGGGGTTGGAAGATGCTGATATCAAAGTCGGGGATATTAGTTAAAACAGATACAAGACTGATACAGGTTCATGAACCCTGACCAAAATGGAGAACCTGTTTTAATTTCATATCATACACCATTGGTACTGTCACATACAGTCCACCATGTCTCTGTAGGGAGACGTCCCTTCACAATGTGCAGTTTCCTTTCCTATGTTTATTCTGTGTACATTTTTTAACTGATAAAAATCTAACATTTCTCCTTCCCAATGTGATCCAATGTACCCAGACATGGATGATGATTTCCAAAAAACTTTAAGAAAGTTCCTGATGGATGTGGTAACGAGAACCCAGAACTGCCACTCTGGTATGACATGTAAGAAGATGGCTGAAAAGCTGAAGGTTGGTGTTGACTGGATTTCCACTCTTATCAAGAATCTGAACGTCCTTAATGTGCTCCGAAAGTTCCATGCCAGGCTGCTATCCCTATGCTATCCCTAGGGCTGTATGGCCCGCTTGTCCTTTAGCACTAAAAGTTGCTTTGAAAGGGACACCCTCCTCTTGTAGTGACACCAGTATTTCAGTTGTTCATATAAAAAGATAATTCCCACATGCGTCTTCCTTGCTGTCCAGAGAAGCGAATCATCGCCCCATAACAGGCGGAATTGGTGCACGATGTTACATGCCAGCAAAATCTAGCTCACGCGGACAGGTTCACCTTATCTGAATCAAATTGATAGTTTTGTAGTTTTCACTTGAAGCATATTAATCTGTGCTGTTCTCATGTTCCAGGTGTGCGTGGCGTATGTGCAAAATCAACACTACATCTCAAATCCTTATGAGGTGAGGTTTGTTTATGCAAGATATTTTAATGACTAATTGTGGACAGTGGTGCAGTATCCAAATTCCAATAGAGAACAAACAGTGACTACGAGGCGAAACCCATAAGAGACAGGAGGAAAATGAAGAAAATTACTATCTTAGTGAAAACGATGACACATTCCATGACCCCAAGATGATTGGATGAAGATAGCGGAGTTACCTGTGTGGCTATTATTACTGGTGAAAGTTAGACAGTTACATAGTAGGTAAGGTTGAATAAAGAATTGGGTCCATCAGGTTTAACCTCTTGCCGTCCACCCGTAGTAAAAAAATGGACGGCACTGCTGCATTGGCGGGTTGCCGTCTCCAGACGTCAATTTTTTTCTGCTCGCGCGCGCAAACGGCAAACCCAGACATGTCCATCGGATTGCCAGACAGAGAAGCGTGATTGGTCACTCCAGAGAACACGTCTCCACTTCTCTAGAGTCCAGTGGCGGCGCGCTTTACACCACGGCATCCCACGCTTTGCATTGCACTTGGTGATGTAAGGCTTGGATGCAGCTGCTCGGCCATGGAAACCCATTCCATGAAGCTCTCTACGCACTGTTGTTGTGCCAATCTGAAGGCCACATGAAGTTTGGAGGTCTGTAGCTACTGACTCTGCAGACAGTTGGCGACTTCTGTGCACTGTGCACTTCAGCATGCGCTGACCTCGCTCTGTCATTTTACACTTCTTGCTGCTGTTCCCAGTTTCTTCCACTTTGTTATAATACCACTAACAGGTGACCGCGGAATATTTAGTGGTGAGGAATTTCACAGAACACCTGAATCCAATGATTTGGAGGGGTGTCCCAATACTTTTGGTAATATAGTGTATATAGTGAGTGTGTTGATTAATACGTGTTGATCAATGCTATCAATTCCCATAACCCTGTATATCCTGTAAACTGAGGAACTCATCCAAGTGATGTTTGAAGCTATTAATGTTTTCTGTTGTGCATGTGAATTCCACAGTTTTACTGCTCTCACAGTAAAAAACCCAGAAGTTCAAGATTATACTGCATTCCCCTCCAATTTCCTCAAAGTTCTTGGTTTAAATCGTCTATTCTCAATACCGCAATCCCCAGTGATGAGTTTAGGATTGCAATCATGTCCCCCCTTGGGCGCCTCTTCTTTCAGGAAAACAAATCTAATTGTTGTAGTTAGGAATGCACCGAAATTTCGCACCCACACACATTTGTGGCGTAAGCAGAACAAGTAATAGTCAGTGTACCCATTGCACTCCTTACCGCTAAATCCTTGATGAATGGGTTGGGTGCATCAGTAGTCGACGGATGGCCACCGTCCAGGCAAAGTATAAAGAGTTATGGACACCGGCACTCCAAAGTAAAAAAACTTCTTTTATTGACGCATCATGCAACAATACACTTATTGCAATGTTTCGGGGTCACACAGGATCCCCTTCATCAGGCAGAACAAGTGTACTGCAATGTGACCCCGAAACGTTGCAATAAGTGTATTGTTGCATGATGCGTCAATAAAAGAAGTTTTTTTACTTTGGAGTGCCGGTGTCCATAACTCTTTATAGTAAGCAGAACAAGGTCCCCCATTTCCACTGGCTGTCATTAAAACACCAGCAAATGCCCTTCATCGTTGAAGTCGATTGCCCAGAACTCCCTGAGCCATAGGCTCCTGAATGAAAGGGCAAATTCACCGCCCCATGGGACACTGATCTCCTTGGAGCTGCAATAAGCCTTATACAGAGGCTGATGTCCTTATGTTCCCAGGAAAGGCTCGGCCACACCGACATCCTTTGCTGAAACTGTTCATCATATAGCATCCGGGCATTGCCGCCATAAACCCTGTTAGCCTCCATGATAGACTCCAGGTAGCAAAAGAGACCTGAGCACTGTTTGGGCTTTTTTCCCCCCCTGCACTTCACAGGGTTGCAATCGCCTACAACCAGTTGTGAAATTGGTGATCATTGCATGTTGGAGAGAAACCACGCCATGGGGGATCAGCCTGTATCTCCTGCTCTCATCATCCTCTTCCTTCCTCACTTAATTTCCTTTCTTCCACTCATGGGTGGAAATGTTAAAGAGGCAATAAAGTGAATATATGCAAATATTCAAGTTTCCAAACTTGGAAGCTGCTGGCATCCAGAAGATGGCCCTGCTGTCATCCTGGCTCCAGATGTAGGGATTGTGCAGACAACTCTAACTGTGAAGGAGGGTCGCTGACTCCGTAACTCTGGAAGATCCTGCTGCGAATGCCTCACCTTCACCAGAAGCTGATTCTTCTCCACCATGCAATGATCCTGACTGGGCCATGAAAGGTGGGTCACGAGTAAAGGAGCTGACTGAGCACTGAGGTACCAGAGCCCTGCCTTGCCTTACTTATTATTATTATTACATAGTATTTATATAGCGCCAACAGTTTGCGCAGCACTTTACAATATTAGGAAGACATTACAGTTACAATACAATTCAAGACAAGATGGTAAGGAGGGCCCTGCCCCTGAGGGCTTACAATCTGAAAGAGGAGGGGGAAATGATACATGAGGAGGTAGCTGTGGTAGCTGTGGGAATGAATTATTTGAGAATGTGAAGGTTCAGTGGTTAGTATGCACCCATGCTCCCAATGATCCCATGGGCTCAGTCACCTCCTGATCCCTGATCCTCTGCAGCACGGTCTTCAAATTGCCATCCATCCCAGATCCCTGACTGACTGACTGCTAAGCATGGCTGGACTAACTTACTCCACTTGTACTTCCATCCCAATATGGCTCCTTGTCTGCTCAGTGCTCAACCTTAATAAGACTACCCCCAATCTCCTCCCACACAACATAGTCCACCCATCCTACACTGTCCATCCTTATCACCTCTCCTTCTCCACCAACTGACCATTCCACCCCATCCCATTCCGGTCTCCTATACTTACTCAACCCAACGTTCGGATCTGGACTCCTCCTGTCATGTCCCCTCTTACACTTGCAGCTCCATAGGGAAACGTGTTTTTGGTTTTTAGCACATCAGCATTATGGGAAATTCCCATTCTAAATGTTTCTTTCTCACTTTACAAAATCTATGACCAAATTTTTTTTTAAAAGCATCCTAAAATTAATAGTAGGTATAAGGCCTTAACCCAAATATTGCAGATCTGTCAGCAGCTACGCAAAGCCAGGGTTTATCAGCCAGAAGCGTACAATCTCATGTTTCTGCTCACATATAATCATCTTTCCTCACAGCTGTGCAACCAACTCAAGACTGAAGCACGAAGGCAGACAGAGAAGGAAACTGAAAGAATATTAACTGAGTTTCAAGACTTTCTGAATAATCAGGTAAAAAGCTATCAAAAAGCAAATGTTACTTATTCATGTATTATAAAACATTTATTAGGCTAAATGGAAGCTCCTAGAAAGCAATAACTGTGTTTTACTTCCCAATAGTATACAAAGTAACTTAAATCTAAAAAAACCTAAACCAAACACTTAAAGTGACACTATACTCAGGAGTTAAGTCTTAAAAATGCATTCATGTACCCCAGCTATTAACAGAAATGTATCCTATTTCTGTATCACTCGGCTGTAGATCCTCCAATCATCTCTGAATTGTTGCTGACACTTTGTAACGCTCGTAGTTCATTTGTCAGGATCTCAACTGCGGAGTTATGTAGCATTAAAGGAGAACTATGAGATGAGTGCTTTTTACTCACCTCATAGTTCTAGCCGACGTGTGACAATGAGACTGTCACAGGTCGGCTCAGTAGATCGGGAGGTGAGCGAACACATACCGGCGTTCGCTCACCTCTCGATCCTGTCACGGCTCTCTGCCGTGACAGGGGAGGGGCTGGATTCCCCCCTCCCCGCTCCGATCCGCCAGCGCTGACTGGCCGAATGGACGGGGGAGGGGCGGGTACAGCTGGCTCTGCATCTAGATAGGGAGAGCCAGCTGTCAGTCACGCAGCTGGGCGGATCCCGGCATAATTGTCGGGATCCGCTTCAGCTGCGGTGTCTCAGTATACCGCGAGCAGCAGCTTGCGGTATACTGCGGCGTCTCAGTATACCGCGAGCTACAGCTTCGTGGTGAATGGATCTAACAGGGCGCACACTCCATTAGTGGAACGCCGTGTTTAGCTCCTCTTCCGCATATAAAGGGTCAGCCGTTGGATGGGCGGAGCCGAGTGACGGCCGTGCTGTACGCTGCGTTCCACTCTGGAGTGCAAGCCGCGATTGGCGTCATAGTAACACAGGCGCTGCGCTCCAGATGGTACGCAAACGTGCACCGCCTCCTCATCCTCCCATGAGTCGTCTTGAGGAACGTACCCCTTCCAACGAATGAGATATTGGAGCCTTCCCCTTCGTCTTCTGGAATCGAGGAGCTCCTCTATCTCGAACTCCTCCTCACCCTGAACGATGATCGGCGGTGTGGGTGGAGGAGTCCTGTCAGGGAAGGGGTTAGGACGGAACGGTTTGAGTAGAGATACGTGAAAGGTGGGGTGCACTTGCAAGCTATGAGGCAGTATGAGCCTCATGGTGTTAGCGTTGATAACCTTATCAATTTGGAAAGAGCCCAGCAACTGTTTCCCCAGTTTTTTAGAGGGCGTCCCCAAGCGGAGGTTCTTCGTTGACAGCCAAACTGAATCCCCTTCTTGGTATGGAGGGGTCTCTCTTCTCTGGCGGTCGTAATAGTACTTTTGCCACTCATGGGCCCATTTGAGATTCTCCTTCAGATTTACTAGGGTTTTCTGCAAGGTGGACATATAATCTCTGTTGCAGGAACGTTTGTAGGAATGCTGGTTGGAGTTAGAGGACTAGGGTGGAACCCGTAGTTGGCGAAAAACGGAGTGTGGAGAGTGGAAGAACTTGTGGAATTATTGTGGGCGAATCCTGCGAGAGGAAGCAGATGCTCCCAATCATCCTGGAGGAATGAACAGTGGGGAGCAGGGCAACAGGACTCAGGAACATAAGCAGGTAACAGGGCTCAGGACAACAAGCAGGTAACAGGGCTCAGGATTCGCAGGAAATAGCAACAGGGTACTGAAGCAAAATCCTGAGTGCAGAGAGGGATTAAATCCCCTCCCAGGTAGTGATTAATCACTGACAGCTGGGAGAGAGCCACAGGTGAGGACTGGACAAGCAGGTTCCAGCACCACCCAGTGATGGTCTGGTACCTAACATCTCCTGGCTGCCCGAAAACACCTGGAGGCATGCACAAGAACTCCAGGACCTGGTTCCTGCACCCCCTGTAGGTGCTATGGTCACTGACAGTAGCCCCCGCCCCATTCAAGGAGAGGGCTCAGAACGCTCCAACAAAGTCCCAAGCGGAAGGTCGATGAAACAAATTCCGCAAATGCCCCACAGGTCCAAGTCCACAAAAGGCCCGCATGTCCGCCGAGTTTGCCGTACGCCCCACTGCAACTGTCTGGCGACCGGTCGAGCCCCTCTCCGCCAGGGTCAGGCAACAGGCCGAGCATCCCACCACCCGGATCCAGCTGCAAGTTCCATAAGCCGGCGGACGTGCCAACACCTATGCAATGGGCCCCAGGGTTCTGCAGCGCATACTGCCCAGCACTGAGGAGCTTAGGAGGCCCCGAGCATACCACCTTCGAGTAGCATGGGGGGTCAATAGGACCATCAGTGCACTCAGCCTACCTCCCGGATACCTCCAAAGCAGTGGGGGCAGGTGGCCCAGGTTACCACACAGCTCGGAGAACGCAGTGACAGTATCCAGAAACCAGGAAGACTCAGATGGAGCTCCCTGTTTCCCGGGACATCACCACTACCAGGTCTAGGCCCGCGCTCATGATCACCCTACCTTGAGTGGATGCCCAAACCCCTAGGCCCCTCAGCTGCAAGGGGCATACCCGCACCACCTAGACCAGAGCAGACGTTGGGCGAAGGTCCCACAAAGTAGAGCTGGACAAGGGGCCAAGGCAATGGAGCAGTAGGGGCTAGGAGCTAGGCAGCAGGCACCGGATCAGTGGAGGTGAAGAGCTGGGCAGCAGGCACCTGATCAGCTGAGGCGAAGAGCTGGGCAGCAGGCACCGGATCAGCGGAGACGAAGAGCTGGGCAGCAGGCACCCGATCAGCGGAGGTGAAGAGCTGGGCAGCATGCACAGGATTATTAGAGACCAGGAGCTGGGTAGCAGGCAGAGGATCATCAGAGACCGGGAGCTGGGCAGCAGGCACAGGATCATAAGAGAACAGGAGCTAGGCAGCGGGCACAGGATCATAAGAGACCAGGAGCTGGGCAGCAGGCATGGGATCATCAGAGACCAGGAGCAGGGCAGCAGGCACGGGATCATCAGAGACCAGGAGCGCGGCCGCAGGCACAAGATCATAAGAGACCAGGAGCTGGGCAGCAGACACAGGATCATCAGAGACCATGAGCTGGGCAGCAGGCACAGGATCATCAGAGACCAAGAGCTGGGCAGTAGGCACAGGATCATCAGAGACCAGGAGCTGGGCAGCAGGCACACACTGCTGTGGTTGACACAGGGTTTCAGGACATGCAGTATACTCCAAAACTATAGCGGAGGCCAGAGGGCAAGGAGTCTTAAGAAATGGGCGAGGATCCCACTTGCTTGAATGGGCCAGCCTGTCCAAAAGATGAAGGGAACCCCTCGGGATAGCATGGAGGGACGTGGATAAGGGAGGTCCCAGGGATGAAGGATCTTGTGCCAGGGCAGGCTGGCCTGGAACTGGCAGTGGAGCAGGCTTGACTGGCCCAGAAGCTGAAGCAGGCAGGGCTGGCACAGAAGCAGGTTGGACTGGGACTGGCATCAGCTCGTCTGGAACAGGATCGACTGGAACAGGAGCAGGATCGTCTAGAACAGGAGCAGGAACGACTGGAACAGGAGCAGGAACGACTGGAGCAGGATCGACTGGAACAGGAACGACTGGAACAGCAACGACTGGAACAGGAACGACTGGAACAGCAACGACTGGAACAGGAACGACTGGAACAGCAACGACTGGAACAGGAACGACTGGAACAGCAACGACTGGAACAGGAACGACTGGAACAGGAACGACTGGAACAGGAAAGACTGGAACAGGAGCAGGTACGACTGGAACAGGAGCAGGAACGACTGGAACAGGAGCAGGATTGTCTGGAACAGGAGCAGGAACGACTGGAACAGGAGCAGGAACGACTGGAACAGGAGCAGGAATGACTGGAACAGGAGCAGGTTCATCTAGAACAGGAGCAGGAACGACTGGAACAGGAGCAGGAACAACTGGAACCGGAACGACTGGAACAGGAGCAGGATCGTCTGCAACAGGAACGTCTGGAACAGGAGCAGGAACGACTGGAACAGGAACAGGGTCGTCTGGAACAGGATCGTCTGGAACAGGATCGTCTGGAACAGGATCGTCTGGAACAGGATCGTCTGGAACAGGATCGTCTGGAACAGGATCAACTGGAACAGGATCAACTGGAACAGGATCGTCTGGAACAGGAGCAGGAACAACTGGAACTGGAATAGGCTGGACTGGGATGAACCCTGAGTATCCAGAATGGTCCTCCACAGCCTTATCCTCCTCAGAGCAGTCACTGCAATCCTCATCCTCCGAGCAATCAGTCCATTCCTCAAGATCCTCCGTGTCCAGGTGAAATGTAGCCAGGAGACGCGAAGGTCCTTGCTGGGTAGCCCTGGGAACAGGCGTAGCTGACTGGCAGACAGGAGCTGTTGCTGTAGCAAACAGGGAGCAGCTGTCATAATCAGGAGCAGCAGTAGTTACTACTGTTGTCATCCTCAACATGGCTAAGCCTGATCGGGACCTGGAGTGGGGACTAGCCTGCATGGGCCGTATGTCAGACCACATCTGGAGCAGGGGTTTGGTAGAGGTTTTCACACATATCCCCTGGTCAATAAGGGACTGAACCGCCTCAATACATTGTAACAAGGCCTCCTGTGAAAACTCAGAGTAATGTTAAAAAAACCCGGCAGGATCATCCTCTAAGAACCACACTAGTGACACAACCTGTGACAGGGTATATGGAGGGGAGAGGTCATCACCCTGATCACCTCTCAGAGCAAGTTCAATACAAATTTGGATTAGGGGTTGGATATCCCCAAGAGGACAACCAGTTATAGCCATGAAACAATGAGCCCTGCGGAAACACTCCAATAGGTCTGCTCTGCGGGAACTCTGGAATATCTGTCGGCAGCGCTGCGGTGCCTCGGATGCTAAATGCACATAACAACGCATCCCCTCGAGATCCATCTCGACAGTAGAAAAAGGGGAAACAAAAAGAACTCCA